AATAAAATACGAGTAAATGGTAAAATGAAGTTTAATAGTTATTTCTCAATCCCTGAAAATTTGATGGCAATCGGATGAAAACTCGAATTTTGCGAATCAATTTTGTGTGTGGCAATTTCATCGTGGACACCCTTTAGCAACACAATGGAGGGTGCATGACCAAAGCACGTGGTCGATATCGTGATAACCATTACCACAAGCGCACAAATTGCTGCCTGCGAGCCCGATTCGGAAGAAATGCGAGTCTAACGAGTAGTGATTGGACATGAGCCTTGATATGACACGTATAAAGTCACGGCTCATGTCCAATCCTTTGAACCATGGTTTGTTCGATACCTGTGGGAGAATAGAATGTAACCATCTTCCCAGAACACTCTCATTCCATTTTTGTTGCCAGTTGGTGAGGATGTGCTGACGGGTAATTGAGAAAAATTCCGCAAAGGCGATTTGTCGATCAAAAATATCGCCTTCCATAGCGCCCACCTTAGCTAGCGAGTCCGCTTTCTCATTACCCGGAATTGAGCAATGAGATGGGACCCAAACTAAGGTGATAGTATAGGAGCAGTTAGATAAAGTACTCAATTTAGCTCGGATTTCGGTCAGGAAATATGAGGAGTGCTTCATCGGCCTCATTGATCGAATAGCCTCCAACGAGCTAAGGCTATCAGTAAAAATAAAATAGTGATCAGATGGTAGTGAGGCAATTTGCTCTACTGCGTAAAATATGGCTGCTAGTTCCGCAACGTATACGGAACAGGGTTTTTGCAGTTGATATGAGGCGCGTTTATAGTTGACCCATCTGTGAAAAAACTCTTATTGTTACTAACATGGTGGTACTTGTTTGCAAAAATTAAGGGAACAACCATCGACCGATGGTGATCTGGTATTCCACGGATTTCTTGCAACATGGTCAGATCAAAATTTACAGAGGAACTATAAAAGTCTTTGAGGCAAACACGAGAGGAATTGAATGAGGAAGGACCAATCTCCAGCGTCATGTACTCGTAATAGAGACTCATGAATCTTGTTTGAGGATTTATGTCGAGCAGCTTCTCAAAGTTTTCTATTACCAATGGGTTCATTACTTCACAACGGATAAGAAACCGGAAGGACAGTTCCGCGAAACGATCTGTCAGTGGGAGAACACCCGCGAGTACTTCGAGACTCATCGTATGCGTCGAGTGCATACAGCCAAGCGCGATTCGGAGGCAACGGTATTGAACCCGTTACAGCTTCAAGATATGTGTTTTCGCCGCGGATTGAAAACAGAAGCTACCGTACTCTAGAACCGACAAGATGGTTGTTCGATATAACCTGATCAGATCTTCCGGGTGTGCTCCCCACCAAGTTTCAGTAATTGTACGAAGAAAATTGATTCTTTGTTGGCATTTTTGCTTCACATACGCAATATGTTTTCCCCACGTGCTTTTGGAATCGAACCAGACACCTAAATACTTGAAAGATATACTTTGAGTGATTGTTCTACCCTTTAGTTGAAGCTGTAACTGTGCAGGATGATGCTTCATAGAAAAAACAACCAACTCAGTTTTCTCCGGAGAGAATTCGATACCCAGCTTCATAGCCCAAGTAGACAAATTGTCTAAGGTATCTTGCAATGGTCCTTGCAGGTCCGGTGCACTTGGCCCTATAACGGACACAACCCCGTTATCTGCAAGCTGCCTTAGCGAGCAATTTTCATCAAGACAACCATCAATGTCTTTTACATAAAAATTAAACATGAGCCCAGGGGGAGACCCATGTAACTAATTCGTGAAGTTGTCGAGTTTCCATGAGAAAAGCTCATATATTTCGCAGACAACAAGTTGCTCAAATAGTTGTTCATAATTGGTGAAAGCCCACTATCGTGGAGTTTATCCGAAAGAACATCGATACAAACAGAATCAAAAACCCCCTTAATGTCCAAGAAAACTGAACCCATTTGCTGTTTTTGTGCATAGGCCAGTTGATTTTCAGTTGAAAGCAACGCAAGACAGTCGCTCGTTCCTTTGCCTCTCCGAAATCCAAATTGCGTATCTGAAAGTAAACCATTCGACTCGACCCATTTGTCTAGACGAAAATAATCATTTTCTCCAACAATTTCCGTATACAGGACAGCATCGCGATGGGACGGTACGAGTTATAATCCGACGCGGGTTTACCGGGTTTTCGAATGGCGATAACTCTTACTTGCCTCCAGTCATCCGGAACAATGTTGTGCTCCAGAAATTGATTGAATAAGTTCAACAAGCGTCTCTTCGCGACGTCTGGGAGATTTTTAAGCAAGTTGAACTTGATTCTATCCATTCCTGGAGCTGAGTTGTTACATGAAAGGAGAGCAAGTGAGAATTACACCATCGAAAACGGGGAATCTATTTCGTTACTACCCGGCGGACGATCACGAACGTTGGTTTGAACCGACACCGAATCCGGGCAAATTTTCCGTGCGAAGTTGAATATCCAACTGTCTGAGTACTTCTTGTCTTCGTTGACCGGTGATGACGCGTTTCGCATTCTCCTGCCGACATTCCAGAGTGTTCTCATGGAAGTCTCTCGCGACAAACCATCGACGAACCGACGCCAGTAACCGCGTTTTTTGGCAATAGTCAAGCCCTTAAAGGTTTTCTCGAGGTCGGTGTACCGCTCGAAGTCCTCGATCTTACCGTGTTTGCGGAAGCGTTTAAACGCGGCGGACTTCTCGCTGTTCCGGTCGCTTGCGAACGGAAACACCCGGAATACGTTTCGTCTGTGCTCGCAGCGCACAATCGATGATGACACGCGCGAGAATGGAGTACTCGTCCAGCGGAGGTAGTACGTCAACCGATTGACTGGCATCAAGAACCGCGGTCGCGAATTTTCGCCAGTCAATGTTTTTCGTAAGATCGTACGCGATGTCGACCGAGCGAGTAGAAGATGAACCATTGGTAATAGAAATTTTGATTGGTAAATGGTCACTACCGTAGGGATCTTGAATTACTTTCCACGAGCAATCCAACGATAGTGAACTCGAGCAAAGTGGGAGGTCTAATCTGCTTATTTTTGCTGGAGGTTTGGCTACTCGTGTTGCTTCCCCGGTGTTCAGAATTGTCATTTTGAAGAAGTCGCACATGTCGTATATCAAGGTTGAGCGGTTGTCGTCGTACAGTTCCACCCAGCCTGTACCGTGAGAGTTAAAATCTCCCAAGATCAATCGTGGCTCCGGCATAGCCGTGCAGATATCCGAGAAACTTTGACGAGAAATCGCAGTTCGCGGTGGAAGATATACTGAGGCAATACTGAGGCATTTACCTCGAATATTAACCTGACATGCAACAACTTCAATGCCTGTCACCGAAGGCAGATCGATTCTGTAGAAGGAATGGAGCTTGTTGATCCCCAGAAGCACCCCTCCATACGAATCTGCGCGATCAAGGCGAATAATGTTGAAATCGTGGAAAGCAAGATCGTTGTCTGAAGAGAGCCATGTTTCACAAAGGGCAAATGCATCAGAAAGTAAATTGTTAACCAAAAATTTAAATGTGTCAAGTTTTGGCATAAGACTTCTACAGTTCCACTGAAGAACAGAGATCATATCCCCGACCTCATTCGGAGAATTATCCATCAAAGGATATGATCGATGCAAGGAAGGACCACCTAAAAGCTAGTTGCTTCAAAAGAGTTTTCACCATTGGCAGCACTAAATTAATAATGCTCCTCGTTGAGTCAGAGACGTTGAATATACTGAAGAAGCTATCCACAATACCAGAAAACGTGAACATGGGAGCATGATCTTGCTGATTACTCAGCTGCTTTTCTGGCCGAAAAACTGGGACATCTGGGGTTTTAGATGATCCTGGAAGTGACGCAAAGTTCTTGTCATAATTACAAGGTTGAAAACCCGGTGGAATGGGCTTCGGTGCATTTCCGTTACCTCTTGATTTTTCCAAGGTGGACCCTTCCACCCTTGGTCCGTACGAGTGGCCTTACGAGGCTTTTCGGTGTTGTGTTTTTTTGCTCGTTTTCTCGTATTGCCTTTAAAGACAAACGGACTACCCTCACCGACCTCTGAGTCAGAGTCTTAAACTGGCAAAATGGAGAACGTGTTACTGCTTTTTGATGTGATCTGAGAAGATGAAGCGGTATTCTTCAAGAGTTCTGCTAGTGTTCTCTTGGAGCGAGCTTGCAGAGACCGCTTAAGTTTTTCTCCCTGCTGTTTATACCTCGGGCAGTCAGTCAGGGTATGTAGGCTTTCCTTGCAGTACACGCATTTTGGAGGAGCACCGATGTTGCTTGATGTTGCTCGCCACACTGATCGCAGCGTGGTTTGATCGAGCAGTAGTCCGATGTATGACCAAGTTGTTTACATTTCGAGCAGTTCATTACCCGAGGTACAAACAGGCGTACAGGCAGCCGAACCTTGCCAATAGCGACGTAGTGAGGTAACGCTGAACCCGAACAAAAAAAACCAAGAAAAAAAAATTATAGATATATACTACATATTTACAAAATTTTGAATCACCCTAATTATGACCCAACCTAATCTAATATTGGACCATGCGGGTAGATGCGATACTGGTGAAAACAAAGCGACACGGTATATCTATTACAGTGAGGCGGCAGATGACTGGTGCGAGGCTATTGTTTGCCCCAACGGCTGTTGGGTCGATAACCTGATAGCTGGTATGCCTCGGTCGCCTCGGTAGGCAATATAACGTGCTTTCGTTGTTGCTATCAATGGGATGATGCGATGATGATGATTAAAGCTGGACCGTAAGCAAAGCGCTCGGCGTATGGTTAGCGGCTTCCTCACTCGCGCACTAGTTGTATTAACACTATGCCAACTAACTTTGGCGAGAAAAAACCCTCGCGTGGGGAAAAACTCAAAAACTCAAATACTAGTGTCGTACAACGAGACCGATGCGACTTGACCGGCTCAGCGTGCGAGACGGAATGCTCATTTCTCCTTGTATTTCCACGTATTCTTATCAAAATTTTAAATCATAAATAAAATTATATTTTTTTAGATTTATTAATCGACTTGGAAACTAAAAGTCGACGGCGAGGAAGCGAACTTAAAATTCTAGAACAGTGGGGCTGGCACAAAAGTCGCCGCTCGTCAAGAAAAAAAAGTACGTATGAAAGCTCTGATCCCGTTGAATCAACAGCTGATGAATTCCTAAAGCGTGTACTGGGTCAATATTTTGTGTAAGTATGAATTATATTATCTTTCACTATATGAATTATATCGTACACTTCTGTTTCAAGAACCTTACCACAAGCCCTAAATGATTGTATTCCGATTTTTAAAAATATTTAAAAAAAAAAATCTTAAAAAAGTCAGTTTGTTTTTCAGATTTATAAGATTCATAATTTTTGAACTATCGATGGATTTATTTATTTATTTATTTATTATTCTCTTCATCGGACTTTTGTTGTCTAAATGAAGATTGATGGGCCTATTTGGCAAATATTTGCGCAAATAGGCGTAAAAACCCCATATCTTTTCAAAATACAAGGAACAATATAAAAAGGACAGAAAAACACATCAATTATAAAAATAAATATCGAATAATAATAATAATACTATGGTCTTCATCATAAAAAACAATAACCTCGTCCTATGGCATGGAGTTGTCCTTGGATCAGTCGAGGCCGTCACCGCAGAGTTGATCGGGAACAAAAAAGGAAACAGGTAGCATTTCTAGCTCAAATCGTTAAAAAAAATGTCAATTTTGTCTCGACCCCTTCTGATTTGAATGAAACATTGCTCACGTGTTCGCTGCTACTAATGGTTGCATTTTTCATTTAAATATCATTTTTTCCTCCAGAGTAACTTTTGAAAAGGGCGTATAAAAAATGGATTATTTTTTATTCAAAAAATCATAACTTGAAAACTATTGATCTGATCAAAACGGCATATGAGAAGAAGTTTTAGGTAGTTAAATTATTTTTGCGGAAAAAATACACTGAAAGAAAAAACTTCGTAAATTAGTATTTAAAAACGTAAAACGATGATTATCTCAAAACACCCCCCCTTCGATCTTTATAAAAATTTTTTTCAAGAAAATTGATGGAATACCCTTGAATTTCGTGAAAAGTGTATGCTGGTAACTTCCTTAAAAAGAAATCTATAATTTTTTAAATTTTTGTTGATTTTTACAAGTTGATGAAAATGCATATTTTTTTGAAAAATAACAATTTATTTGGATTCTACGCATAATTTTCGATAACTTTGCATATAGAAATTTTTTTCCTTAGTCCAGCCGTTCTCAAGTTAATGCAAATTAAAAAAAATATAATTATAACAATTTTCAACATTATTGGCCATTTTCAAATGTTTGTCGAGATGTCCAGCAACGAGATTTTATTTCTTGATTGTATATTAAAAAACAAACAATTCATTCTCAGATATGGTAGCTGTCAGACTTACCCGTTTCTATCTAGAGGCAGCGGAAGAGAAGCACGTTGATATGGTCAAATGAAAGATTTGTTGAGATAAAAAACAGTATATATTTATTATTTTATTTTACAACTCATATTATTTGAATACATTGAATAATTTGGGTGTATCGTTTGAATTAGAGAATATTTTTACTGAAATTTGGTTGTTTGAAACTGGAATATAGCAATGATATTTTCGAGTTCCAGGAATTGGTTTCACTTTCTTAAAAATTGGATCAAATTCCGTGTCAGCCTTTTTGTATTCTTCCGTAGAAACATAACAAAATGACATTTTTGTTTGAAGATCTTCTTTACGACTATTTGCCCAGTCGTACAGTTGTTAATGGTTCGTTATAGGGTGCTCGTGTTGCTTAGCTAAACTTGCTCTGGTTGCCATTCTCTTAAGGGTACCGCCAATCACATAACAATGACCTTTGCCGTGTGAAGTTGCAAAAAAATGCCATTCAATTTCTACATTATGCTTATCTTTAAATCCACAAATGCTAGCAAAAATTTTTATGTTTTTGTATTGTGATGCTGCTCCATCTGACATAAAAATACACTTTTGGACTGTTATTTGCAACTTTAAAAATTCTAATAATTTTGAGATAAACAACTGAACTGCTACTGTGTCATGCTTTGAAATTGATTTAGGTGGAGGTTTACAACACTTGAAATTGTTATCCATCGTAAAAAACTACTTGCTTTTTAACTTGAAACGCTAAGAGAGATGAACTGAATGGAACAGGTGAAGATCGTCCCAATATATATATATATGTAGCAGAATAATTACAATGTTGACATTATACCTATCTTCATTAGGTACAATTGATTATAGCAAACTTTTTTAAGTGTGAGTGTAAGAAGCCTCCACGGAGTGCCTTTTTATGTAGTTGTGATATCGCGGGATGAGCTCTTAAGGCACAATATGGTATACGTCAGAGAAGTACCTAGAGAATTTATCTCAATTACAGGTTTAATAACATATTTGTTTACCTGTTTATGTTTTGAGCCTCTGTTATGACATACACAATTCTATCCAGGTATACAACTAATAGAGGACAGAAAAAAGGCACATGAGTGGGTTTGTTGATTATTTGGGTATATTTGAGAGTATTTACTTATAAACTTGTTTCTTTTCCGCTGCGTCTAAATAGAAACGGGTAAGTCTGACAGCTACCATATTTGAGAATGAATTGTCTGTTTTTTAATATATATTCATGGAAAAACATCTCGTTGCTGGACATCACGACTAACATTTGAAAATGGCCCAAAATGTAGAAAATTATTATAATTATTTTTTTTAATTGCACTAACTTGAGAACGGCTGGATTTAGAAAAAAAGTTTCTATGTGCAATGTTTTTGAAAATTATGCGTAGAATCCAAATAAATTACTATTTTACTAAAAAATATGCAATTTCACCAACTTGTAAAAACCAACAAAAATTTCAAAAATTATAAATTTTTTTTAAAGAAAGTTACCAGTATACAATCTTCACCAAATATTAGGGCATTTTTTCAGTTTTCTTGAAAAAAAAAATTATAAAGATCGAAGGGGGGGTGTTTTGAGATAATCATCGTTTTACGTTTTTTAGATACTAATTTACTAAGTTTTTCTTTCAGTGTATTTTTTTCCGCAAAGATAATTTAACTACCTAAAACTTCTTCTCATATGCCATTTTGATCAGATCAATAGTTTTCAAGTTATGATTTTTTGAAAAAAAAATAATCCATTTTTTTATACGCCCTTTTCAAAAGTTACTCTGGAGGAAAAAATCATATTTAAATGAAAAATGCAACCATTAGTAGCAGCGAACACGTGAGAAATGTTTCATTCAAATCGGAAACACTCATGACCAACCGGTTTGCGTTTTGGGCTGGAAATGCTCGGTAGCAAAATTCATCAGATGTACATTAATGGACAGCTACTCACCGTCTTGCAACAATTTGCTGATTGAAAGCAGCTGCATGTGTCGAACCGTATCGTCACCTCTCCAGCAGACTACGTTGAATCCGTTGACGAAATGTTTCCACTGTGCAGTTGAAATCGAAAAAAACATAGAATTCATTGAAACGGGTAGACATGAACCGTATTGGATCATGTAATCCGTAATTAGCTGCACGAGGTCCGAGATGCAGGAAACTTCTCGATCGTAGAACTCGTTCAGGTGCATAGATTTCGAATTCAGCCAAAATCCTGGGAGAGTCGATTTCGCTTATCAGCACTTTTGCTGCAAAAACTGCCTGGTTAATCTTCCGCCTACGTTCAAGAGTTTCAATACCCAGTAGTTGGCAACTATCTTCGTAGGGTGGAAGGTTCGTATGATCGTACCAAGGAAGGTGGCGATTAGTGTAACGAACGAATTTCCTCTGAACAGACTCGATCCTCGCTATCCAAACTGTTTCATACGGACACCATACTACTACACCAAATTCCAAGATCGATCGCACTAGAGAACAATATAGAGCTGTCAGGCAGGTAGGATCCCGAAACTCATCAGAGATCTTAAAGATGAATCCGAGTTGCCTGTTAGCTTTGGCTATGATATCCGTGTAATGTAGCTTAAATGTCAAAGCAGAATCAAGTGTAATTCCTAGATCACGAACGTTGTCCACACGCTGCAGAGGTTGGTTATCGATCGTATAATTGAATGCAATAGGTTTTAGCTTGCGATGAAAAGTGATGATATTGCATTTTTGAACACTCAACGTCAGAAAATTCCTAGAGCACCAGTCTTCGAAACTATCGATCAGGTGCTGCAACCGCAGGCAGTCAGTGAAGCATCGCACAACCACATACATCTTGACATCGTCTGCATAGAATGACCGGCAGCCAGTTGGAAGTATCAAACCGATTTCGTTAATGAATATGGAGAATAGCAGCGGTCCCAAATTGCTGCCTTGAGGAACGCCTGAGTTGTTTGAAAAATAATCCGATTGATCAGACCCGATTTTCACACAAAGCTCTCGATTGGTAAGATACGATTCAAACCAACGAGTAAGTCCATGAGAAACACCAAGCTTCTCGAGTTTGGCAATTAGAATGGCATGATCAACCCGGTCGAAAGCAGCCTTGAGATCCGTGTATACGACGTCCACCTGTGCCCCTGCCTCCATATTCCGTAGGCATAGGGAAATGAATGAACGAGGTTTGTTGAGACCGAACGTTTGGGGTGGAAACCATGTTAGTCAGGAGAAATGTAGTTTCTACAGCTGGCAAATAAAGTGTCGTTGATGATTATCTCGAATACTTTCGAGCAGGCACAAAGTGAAGTAATTCCTCGGTAATTCTCTACATTTTGTTTGTCTCCTTTTCTTGAAAATCGGGAACATGAACGAAGATTTCCAACGAGAGGGAAATACACCTTGTTGTAACGAAATATTGAACAGCTTTGAAAGCGGAGAGGAAAGCTCTGTTGAGCATCTTTTGAGTATGGACGATGGAATGCCGTCAGGCCCAACAGCGTTCGAGAATTTCAGCTTCTGGATGGCAGAGTCGACGAGGTCCAATGTAACCGTGAAAATATCAAAGCTGAACGCGTCACTGGGAGTATCTCTGATCCCTTCAGCAACTTGGCTTAACGATGCCGTTGAATCGTTGAAACCACTCTTGAAATGCTCAGCCAGGAGGTTACATTTCTCTAAAGAAGAGTTGGCTCTTTTATCGCTTAGATGAATCTCAACCGGTAGCCCATCCTCTTTCCTTTTTGTCTTCACAAACGTCCAGAATAGCTTAGGATTACGCCGGAGATTGGTCTGCATA